AAAAAAAATCAGGCTCCCAAAGATGCAATCCAAAAGGAGGCATCTGAGGTGAGTATACTCTTCTCAGATGAAGCAATGCAAATGGCAAGTTAAATATATGGAAAAGATGTTCAACATCATTGGTCATTTGAGAAATGAAAATTCAAACAACACTGAGATTTCGTCTCACCCCAGAAAGAATGGCTGTCATCAAGAAGTCAATCAAAACAAATGCTGGAGGGGCTGTGGGGAAAAAGGAACCTTTCTCCACTATTGGTGGGAGTGAAGATTGGTACAACCACTATGGAAATCAGTGTGGAGATTCCCCAAAGAGCTAGGGTTGGAGGTTCCATTCAAGCCAGCTATTACCCTCCTGTGTGTTTTTCCAGAAGAAGTGAAAATATCTTATCATGGTGATATATGTGCACCCATGTTCATAGCAGTGTAATTCTTTTTAATATATGTAGGACAGGGTCTACAGGGTCTCAGTGCACAGCTCGGACTTATAGTGATCCTCCTGTTTCAGCCTCCCATGCACTGGGATTACAGGTGCACACCACGGGGCCCAGTCTCAATGTGCCCTGGGGGTGGGGTCAGTACCAGGGATCGAACCCTGGTCCCTGCATCTGCTTTAATCCGCTGTCCAGCCTTAACAGTGCAATTTGTCATAGCTAAATATTGGAAGCAATGCAAATTCTCATCAATTGAGAAATGGATTAAAAATGTGGTGTTTTTACACAATGGAGTGTTATTTAGGTATAAAAAAGCATAAATTTCAGGCTTTTATAGGCAAATGGATACAACTAAAGACCAAACTCTTCAGTGAAATAAATCAGACCTCTATGTGCAAGCATTGTATTATCTCCCTACTGCAAGAACCTGAAAGAGTAAATAAAAAATCTTAAGGGTATATTAAATATTGGGAAAAGGAAATGAACCTGTTTAAAAGGAAGAAATTATTGAGATGAGGAGAAGGTCAGGAGAGGGAATGGGGAAAAGAGGTATATCTATGCATGTAGGCAGGATGGTGTGGACAATTGTACTGTGGATTTCTGCTGGTCTATGGAAAGGAGCAGTTGATGCTGAATTAGTTTTGTCTTCTTTATTTCTTTTTCATTTTTCTCCTTAATTTCTTATAATTTTTTCCTCCTAATTTTGCATGCATATATCTGGTAATATGCACAACTAACTTGAAGACAGCCCTATTGCAAAAGAACAAATACTGTGAAATTTATGACATTTTGCTTACTGAAATTCTGTATCATTTGTAGTTTTTTGTTTTAACACTATTTTGTTCTCTCTTTAAAAAAGAAAAAAAAATTAAAAAATATTGTCCTGAAGAAAACAGTTTATTCATTTTTTTCATAGAGTTTACATTTAGGATTACTATGTTGAGCAAAGAAAACTGGATGACATTTTTAGGAGATTTTAAGCTAATTGTTTCAAATTAATTACTAAAACAATTAAGAAATTTATCCACATATACCAAGAAAGCTTACAAGACACTATTCTACTTGTATTTTTCTTGTTGGTAGACTTGTTTATAATGTATAGGACTTTTTGTAATGTATTAAATATATATGTGATCATCTCAAAAAAAAAAAAGAAAAAGAAAACAGTTTATTAATTAAATTGTGTAGAGATATTGAAATGTCTTAGTTTTTTTAAATTTTATTTTGTCTTTTTGAGACACAGTCTAGTTATATGGTTCAGGCTGGCCTTGAGCTCACCTTATAGTTCCTGCCTCAGCCTCCGAGTCTTGGGATTACAGGTGTGCGCCTCATGCCTGGCTGAAATGTCTTACTTTTAAACAAAAACAAGAAAAGAATTCCTTCCAAATTGCATATATACAAATATGTTAGATGTCGGAATTGGATTCTGAGAGATGTTTCAGTTTTATATATTCTTTTTTTTTCAAAGTTTTATTGATAAACAGATAGCAATGAGACAGTTTCAAATCTAATCGGAAGTACAGTTTCAACAAATAATACACTGCATATATTCTTCTCAGTGGTTAATTGCTGTACTATATATTCTTTATAAAATATAAAAAGGTGTTTTGAGGGGCTGGGGAGATGGCTCAGTAGAATAAGCACTTTCCTGGCAAGCGCAAGGGCCTGAGTTCAATCCCGGGTTCCGCAAAAAAAAAAAAAAAAAAGGTGCTTTGATATTTCAAAGGAAGATGCTTTATAATTTGACATAATCTGCTGCTGGAACTGGCTCATTTAGCTAACAGCCACTCATCTGCAAGAAGATGCTTAGCATCTTTGTGGGAGCAGGCAGATGCCATTGAAAAGAGGAAGACAAGTGATCCAGATTTCCTGGAGTTCCATCTATCAGACCTGGCTGTATAATGTGGTGAAACCAAAGAAAGAGGTGGCCAGGGATAGATCTAGGATTGGACAGCACAATGTATCGGGGCGAATTACTAACAGAAACATGACCTGGGGGTAGTTGAAAGACCAAGTGGATCTGTGGAATTTGGGTCAGGAATAGAAGTGCATATGTTGGTCAGGACAAGTGGTTTCATACAAGTCAGAATATGCCTAGTTTATTTTAAACTAATAGAAAAGAAAATGAGGCCTATTCCTGGCACCCAGGTAGGGTAATAAGCTTCACTTACCACTCCAGTAGTTGTTTCTGTTGATAATTTTCTTTGAAACTATACAGGAAAGACCAACTAAGGTTACTCTGGGCATAACCATTGAGGTTATGAACCAACATGGCTACAGTTGTGTCAAGCTGAATCCATTCAGTCTGGAAATCTGCAGCTGATTTAAAAAGTAAAAATATCATGCAATAATCCACTGATTAAATTTAGACCATGGATCAGTGTCTTTACGCTTAAGCTTTTTGCATTTAATTAATTAAAAGACAATTTTATGATAAAAGCTATCTCACAGTCAGATTTTTAAAAGGTCAAGAACAAATGTTCTGATTTTTATATATAGCAATACAGTAATGATAGTACATGTTCTTTTAAAAATGAAAACTAAACCATGTTAGCTACTGAAGTACGTTAAGACAGCAGTTAAAAAATATGGTTGTGGGGGGAAGTGGTGATAATAGGGAATATTGTCTAAGTATTACGAAAG